CTGTAACCAATTCTGTGGTACCACTAAATCTCTAACTGGTTGGCCGAGGTGGCAGACAACAGGAGGTCGTCTAGAAGGGTATGATGTTGATTGCCTGAAGTTTCAAAAGGTACAAGAGCCTCCCCCAACAACTTTGAGAATATCAGTGGGGCTGAAGACAGCCCGAACGGGAGAGCTTTGAATTGGTAATGGTGTACAATTGGACCTATACTCACCGCCAACCTGAGAAATTGTTGAAAGGCCAGGTGGATAGGAATGTGAAGATAGGCGTCTCTTAAATCCAACGTCGCCATGTAGGATCTGAGTCGTAGGAGGTCCCTGACTGAAAAGATAGATTCCATTCTGAATCGCTTGTATTTTATTAGAACGTTTAAGGGCTTTAAGTTGAGGATCAAACAAAATTTCCCCGAAGGTTTCTTCGCAAAGATGTGCGAGTAAAACCCTTGACCCTCCTCCTGCTTCGGAACCTGAGAGATAACACCCTGGTCTATCAGGTCTCCTTACAAGAGACAAAGAGCCTCCGATTTGTCCGACTGCTTTGGTAGATTTGTAACGGGAAAACATCTGGGAGGTAAACTGCCGGACTCACACCTGTATCCCTCTTTTATTAGATTCAGAATACATTGATCGGAGGTAGTCTCCATCCAGCGTTGGAGGAAGCCCCCCAACCTTCCTCCCTCCCCCAGTGGAAGAAGACAGTCATTGCTGCTATGGGGCTTGGGAGGAAGGATTAAAGAGAATCTCCCATCTGCCCTTTTGACCCGACCATGCTTTTTGAGCTTATCCTCCTTACTTTCCTGAGGTTTATTTCTGGGTCCTTGAAAAAAAAAAAAACAATGAAAAGGCTTCTTTTTCTTGTTTGCTGTTTGTTCTAGAATTGTCTCTAATTCAAGTCCAAACAGTAAATCCTCGTAAAAAGGAAGATTACATAACCTAAGCTTTGAGGCCGATTCAACGTCCCACACTTTCAGCCACAAGGCCCAGCGAGAGGAGTTAATAAGTGTCGAGGACCTATTATTATTATACAGGATTTATACTGTATTGTGCCAACAGTTTGTGCAGTGCTTTACAATATATCAGAATACAATTCAAGACAAGGTGATAAGGAGGGCCCTGCTATCAGTCATCCTAACGGATTTGGCAGAGGCGTCTGCAATAAATCCAGCAGCCTCAAAGAGTACTGGAAGAGAGTCCAAGAGCTGTTCTCTGGGAGTCCTGGCCAGCAAGTGGGTCCTCAATTGGGGGAGCCAGAACGCCAGATTTCTAGCCACACAATGAGTGGCTAAGGCAGGTTTAAGATCCATAAGAGAAGAATACCAAGCTCTCTTGAGCAAGATCTCCATCTTCAGATCTATGGGATCTCTGAGAACCCCTATGTCCTCAAAAGCCAAGTCTGATTTTTTAGAAACCTTGGCCAAGGGAGCATCTAGTTTGGGGATCTTGTTCCAAACTAAAGCTGGGTCATCGTCAAAAGGAAACCTCAGCTTGATTGTTAGACCTGAGAGGCTTCTTCTCAGGGTCCACTCCATTCTCTATACACAGCCTCTGAAAGAACTTTATGCACAGGGAAAACTTTAGATCTTTTTTGCTGTATTCCCCAATACATGAGATTGTGTCTGGAGAGCTGAACATGCTCTTCTTGTATCTCTAAAGTGCTATAAATGGCACTCAGTAAGTCATCCACATCGTTAAGAGACAACTTATATCTGGAAGCACTGGTTCACCCAGAGCACTCCTAAAGACCCTACAGGGTCAACCTGGCAAGAACCCATAGGAGTGGGTAATGGGATGGTAGGTTGCACATTGTGTGGAGCATGCTGAGAAGACAGACAGCACTACCAGCCTCACAGTTGCTACTGAGAGTGGTGCCCAGAAATGACCTGCCAAAAGGCCCTCCCCTTCCTCCCATGCCAGAACGAGGCCTGGCCCGCTTGGCCTCGGCCCCTGGAACCGATTCATGCAGGCATCCGGTCTGGCTGTGGAACACATCCCAGGGACTCGGAAATCATATTAAACCCCTCTGACTGCCAGATGCTCGTTTCCAGAGGCCCAGCCATGTAGGAGTAGTCAGTCCCGATCCTTGCTGGGTACTGA